CTCTGTTGGGTAAGACATCATTTAACCATCACTGCCGTCTAAGGCTCTATATCTAAGTAAAGTGCTGTTAGGGGTCTAGGGCATCAATATACGAATCTGGGAAGGACATACAGCCACCCATAGACGCTTCACTATGACTGGGGTGAACATTTTGAAGAGTTCAATGTCCAGCCTTCTAACTGAGTGCATCTCATCATGATCATGGACATGTGGAAAACAGTTCTTTTCTGGAGACTGTAAACTATGAACTCATTATTATGAGAGTCTAGGGACTATGATGGCATTTCCTGAGGGTGCCACAAAACTGCAAATGAGTTTAAAATTATTCAGTCATGGAGTATTCCAGATGTGGTAGAGGTAAATATATATTGATCTGTGAAAGAACCCTTCAAAGGTAGGTATCAAATAAATCTAGTGAAAGTTTCAAGAAACTCAAATCCAAATTCATAAGCAATCACCTCCTGAGGAAACAGATTCCATGGTTGATCTTTATGCCAAGTCACAATTTATTAAATTACTCTAATCAGATATTTGAAATTATTTGATGTAGACAAAAATATATCTAACACATTTAACAAATAAAAATAGAAATTGAAAGGAATGGTCATGGAAAAAGAAATTATCTAAATTTAGAAAAGAAATTTGAAAAATAAATTCTAGAAATTAAAAGACAAAATAACTAAACACAAAATCCTGGAGGTTGGAGAGACAGCAGATGGCTCCCAAAAGCAGCACACCACGTCATGTCTAGTCCTAGTGTACAGAAACTCGGAGTTTGACATTTGACATAATGGTAATCAATATTTCAGCAGAGATGCTTCTAGGAGCCCTGTACCCATATTTTGAGAAATCCCAGGCTAACCTTTCTGAGAATTAGAGAAACATGATCAAGTGATCCCAAATACTCCAGCTTACTAAAGGAGTAAGAGTGAGAAGTTCCCAGGTTTCTGAGACCCATAGAACTGCATGGTGACTGCAGAAATCAGACAAGATACTCCAAACCAGGAGGATGAATCAGTTAATCTAGAAAGCTCTGAGAGACATGAGATATTTGCTTTCATGTTGCTAATAGATTCACCAAACTCCAATTAACACAACCACAGTCCTCAATAACAGGAGAGAGACAGCTGAAGAAAAGATCAATGATGTAGAGGATCTACATAAATTATTCCAAAATTATATGAATCATATATAAAGAGATGAAAAAAGATGAGAGGCTGGTATATATAGGACAGAAACAGTCCAGCACATCTCTAACCTGAAGGTAGTGGAGGAGACAACATGTGCAGATGATGGTTGATGGCTTCCCAGAATCATGGAAGAATACCAATCCTCGATGAAACTTCAACTTAAGAAGCCATTTGAATTTAAGAAGAAAAAGTACGACATCAACACCTACATACATAATGGTTAAAATGAAGAACACTGAGGAGAAAGAAAAGGTCCTGCAAGCCCCAAATGATGACCATCTGTGAAATAATTGGGCCACTCCTCAAAAGTGTGAAGGTCACAAAAGACAGAGAGAGGATCGAGGATTGAGATGTTCTTTCTAACAAAGGAGACTACCGGGCATAATTAAATATTAAAGTCATTACAACTGGATGTTTAAAACAACACTAATTAAGAGCTATGGGATTTAGCTAAGGAGATACTTGGAGCTTTGAAGTGCCTTGAAATAAGTTTATTAAGCAAGAGGTAGGCTGAAGGAAATAACTAATACCCAACATACTGTTTAAAGTAACTCAAGGAAATAGAGACAGGCCATTGGAAAAACAGAAAGCAAATATGTACACATAAAATCAACAGGAGCCAAAAGTTGATTTCCAAAAACAAATAATAGGTGTGATAAGCAACAATACTCCATAAACAGGAAGTGAGAAAAGCTGGAAATGTAAGAGAGGATTATCATTCCAGAGGTGGCTAAAATTACAGCAGCTACAAAGAAATCCAAGGACAATATGATCTTTGAGTCATATCTATCAGATTTTTATTACTAGAACAAAATATCTGAAGAAGGTTAATACTATTTTTAAAAAGACAAACATGGTATGTACTCACTCATAGGAGGATACTAGATGTGGAACAAGGATGACTGGACTGCTACTCACATCACCAGGGAGGCTACCTGGAAAACAGGATTCCAAGAAAGACACGGGGATCTCCCAATGACGGAGAAATGGATGAGATCTACATGAACAGCCTGGACATGAGTGGGGGTAAAGAAGGGCAAGGGTCGAGGGAAAGAGAGCTTGGGGGAGCAGGAGATCCCAGCTGGATCAACAACAGAGAGGGAGAACAAGGAATAGGAGACCATGGTAAATGAAGACCACATGAGAATAGGAAGAAGCAAAGTGCTAGAGAGGCCCACAGAAATCCACAAAGATACCTCCACAACAGACTGCTGGCAATGGTTGAGAGACAGCCCGAACTGACCTACTCTGGTGATGAGATGGCCAAACACCCTAATTGTCGTGCTAGAAACCCCATCCAATGACTGAGGGACCTGGATGCAGAGATCCATGGCTAGGCCCCGGGGTGGAGCTCTGGGAGTCCAATTAGCGAGAAAGAGGAGGGTTTATATGAGCGAGAATTGTTGAGACCAAGGTTGGATAAAGCACAGGGACAAATAGCCAAACGAATGGAAACACATGAACTATGAACCAATGGCTGAGGGGCCCCCAACTGGATCAGGCCCTCTGAATGGGTGAGACAGTTGATTGGCTTGATCTGTTTGGGAGGCATCCAGGCAGTGGGACCGGGTCCTGTGCTCATTGCATGAGTTGGCTGTTTGAAACCTGGGGCTTATGCAGGGTCGCTTAGCTCAGCCTGGGAGGAGGGGACTGGACCTGCCTGGACTGAGTCTACCAGGTTGATCTCAGTCCTCGGGGAGGCTTTGCCCTGGAGGAGGTGGGAATGGGGGGTGGGCTGGGAGGCGGGAGGGGGAAGAACAAGGGAATCTGTGGCTGGTATGTAGAACTGAATTGTACTGTAAAATAAAATAAAATAAAAAGAGGTTTATTTTGGTTCATCATTCTGGAGGTACCCGTTCCAATAGATCTGGTGGTGCCTAATTGGGAACAAGATTGGAAGATAGAGCAAAGAAACACAAGGAAGTGTGTGTGTGTGTGTGTGTGTCTGTGTGTGTGTGTGTGTGTGTGTGTGTCTGTATTTGTGTGTTTGTGTCTGTATTTGCATGTGGGGGTTGTGTGTGCGAGTATACATGTGGTGTGTATGTACATGTGTGCATGTGTACCAGAAGTCAATCAAGAGTTCTTGATTGCCAAAACATATCGAATCCTAATTACTTTCCAAAGGCCCTGCATCTGTATGCCAAATCCAGTTCAATTTCTTCCCTTTTAATACTTACAATGAGGATAAAATTTAAGCACACGGAGCTTTGGGGAGCCCTCAAACTGTGTCCAAACCATAGCATTCAAACCAGTGAAATGTGCTGAGAGTAAGAGAGTTTGGAGTACTCAGCCCTATAGAGGATTTCGGGGCTCGGGGGTCTCTGCTAAAAAGGTCACAGAAAGACTGTCAGAGCCTGTGAACGACTCCAGGGAAACCGTTGTTCAGACATAAAAGGACTGATGTACACACCAACTCATAGAGAGCATGGCAGTATACTCAAGGCCTACACATACTCAAACCAGACAACCCCAACACTGAGAAGGTGAAGAAGGCCCCACTCCTAATCAAGAAGCTATTTGTAGTTGATATCTGCTGGTAGAGGGAAAATCCGTTTTCTCTAATGGCATGTCAACCACACTCCAAGGCAGATCCCATGCCCAGGAGAAGTTGGCCAACACAAATCAGGCTTCATTTTTTGAGCATTTTTGTTTTGTTTAATTATTGTCTTGCTATTTTGTCTTTTTAGTTCTCTTTGATTCTTGTTTTGTTCATGATTTTGTTTTGTTTTTAAAGAGAGAGGGAACATGAAGTTGGGTGGGTAGGGAGGATCTGGGAGGAATATGGGGAAGGGAAAGAATATGTTCAAAATATATTGTAAGAAAAAATCATGAAAATTGATTTAAAAAGGGATTTTTAGAAAATTATCAAATCACCAAGACTGATTCAAGAAAAGAAATTGAACCCACACTTCTCCCTCTGAAAAGCTAAGGGGCTGGAGAAATGACTTAGTGGCTAAGAACACTGGTTGCCCTTTTTGAGGGCCTACGTTGCACCCACATTGCAGCTCATCAACTCTCTGTAACTCCAGTTCCAGCAGAACTGACACCATCTTCTGGCTTCTGCTGAAACCAGACATGCAGGTGCTGTGCCCACATTTACGCAGGCAAAACCCCCATATACATAAAAGTAAAACACAAATTAAAGAAAAACCAACAAAAATACAAAGACCAATCAATTAACAAATAACTAAAAGAAGTTCTAAAAGGAAAATGTAACATTCCAAAAGTATGCAAGTTCATTTAAAAAGTAGAAAAATAAACACTGTTCCTGATAACCCCAATAATTTTTAAGTAAGAACAACAAGAAAATGGGCATAAAACGTTATAGGCTGTTCTCATTATGAGGGTAGGTACACTCATCTTAAAGAAGGTATTCCACCAAATTTCCTGATGCATAAACAGACCAAATCATATCTGACTTATTACACAATGCAAGGCATACATCCCCCGCCACACCCGTTCTCTCTCTCTCTCTCTCTCTCTCTCTCTCTCTCTCTCTCTCTCTCTCTCTCTCTCTCTCTCTCTCTCTCTCACACACACACACACACACACACACACACACACATTACCCTTGCCTTCATGTCTAGTGCAGTGGCCCTCCTCAGGGTACCTGATGCAGGCCATCCAGCCTAAGGACCCAACAGCTGCTAGAGAAGGGCCATTGGCTGGAAGGCACAGCAAGGTTACCCCGGCACCATAAGGTTCACTTGTACAAGCTCCATGCCAGGCTCAGCCTTGTTTGTTGGAGGGAATCAATTTCCTTATTTCCTCTGCACTGATGGAAGATTACAAATTTGTCATTGCATCCAGGATTTCTGCTGAGTATTTCAGGGGAACCAGCTGCCCACTCCAGCCAGGTGGATCATGGGGACCCTCAGCTTCTGCAGTGAGGTGAGGAGCCTTGGGGTGAGTCATGCTCCATAAAAGATAAAGTTAAAATCACAACAAACAAGTCTGTTTTCACAAAGAGGGTAAAAAGGCTCCAGATTTTTGCCAAGGAACAGACGGCTAGAACTCCTTCCTGGTCCTACTTTTGACAGGTCAACTTTCTGATTTTGCTAATCCGTGGAGAGTTTGGCAGAGTGCAGATATGTTTGGATTTGAGATATTTCCTGGGTTTTGTCTGTTTGGTTTTTCTTTCTATTCTTTGAAAGTTTCATACAAGTATATGATGAATATAGTCTGTTTTACTCACATTACCTTGTCTAAGCCCCCAACCTTTTACTAAAATTCTTTTTCTCCCCAACAAGCTCCCTCCCTGCTTTTATGTGCGGTTCGTACATATGCAACTCTGAGTTTATGGCCACCTGCATGAGCATGGGTGGAAGGCCATTTACCAGAGCACGGGCAGTTTGCTGGTGGGGATATAACTGCAGAAAGTAAGACACCTTCTCCTGCCCATCAACTTCCAATATTCCCTTCGGGAGGAGTATACCCTCAAGAGCCCTTTCCTCATCCATGATGAAACTTTGATGAACAGGCCCAATCCTGTGCAGGTCTTCTGTAGGTTACCATGGCAGCAATGAGGTCATGGATGTGTGGCCAAATCTGTTCTGTAGAGGACCAGTCCTTTCTGTTATAGGAAAACATGGAATCTACCTCTACATGGAGACACAGGGTTCTCTGGTCCTCTCCCTTGGTTATTCTAGTTGTAAAGGTCAATCCCCTCAACAAGGGACCACCTCTCAGGAAGTCAGGTCCACCTTATGTCATGCTAAAGAGAGAGGAGGAAGACTTGCCCTTTGCCATAATGTGCTTTTCCTTCCCAGAATCCCCAGCACAGTGGTTTACAGTCAACACTGGGCAGCTTGAAAGTCTGCCCACTTTTCTGAACTACTCACAAAGGTAACTTGTGGTTGATATATTGTGCACCCCAACAAACTTATCTGGGGTCAGAGAACAGAACAGCCACTAGATATAGAGGCCAGAAAATGGTGGCACACACGCCTTTAATCCTAGCATTCTGAAGGCAGAGATCCATCCGGATCTCTCTGAGTTCTAAGCCACACTGGAAACAGCCAGGCATGGTGACTCATGCCTTTAATCCCAGGAAGCGATGGCAGAAAGCAGAAAGGTATAGAAGGTGTGAGGACCAGGAACTAGAGGCTGGTTAAGCTTTTAGGCTTTTGAGCTGCTGCAGTTCAGCTGAGATCTATTTGTTTCCTCGGGCTTCCAGTCTGAGGAAACAGGATCAGATGAGGAATTGGAGAGGTGAGGTGGCTGTGGCTGTTCTGCTTCTCTGACCTTCCAGCATTCACCCCAATACCTGGCTTCAGGTTCATTCTTAATAATAAGACCTTTTAAGATTCATGCTACATCTTTTCCTTCCTTCTGTTGATTATATAAGCACCATTTCCCTAAAACGTCAGACCCGTTCACCTTTGTCTCCAGCCCCTCCCTCTACCCTGTGGCCCTTCCTCCAGCCTGTGGCTGACCTCTGTGCCAGCTTAGCTCAGACAGCGTGGCTTCCTCTCTTCCTGTTCTCTTTCTTCTTCCTCTGGGCAGCTGCTGAGATTTTCCTTCTAAACTCTAATAGCTTCTGCTTGAGTCCATTCATAAACGCTTTCATTAAAAAGACCAAGAACTCAGCAGGGCAGTGGTGGTGGTGGTGCATGCCTTTAATGCCAGCACCCAGGAGGCAGAGCCAAGTGGATGTCTGTGAGTTCAAGGCCAGCCTGGTCTACAAAGCAAGATCCAGGAAAGGCACCAAAGCTACACAGAGAAACCCTGTCTTGAAAAAAAACAAAACAAAACACAACAAAAAAAACAAGAAGTCTGGTAAGTGACTCCCAACTTCTCCAGTAACATGGAGGGGGCGGGGTGCAGGGTGGTGTACTCCCCAAAATTTCGGGTCTCATTCTCAAACCCTCCTCTTACAAGTTCTCCACCCCCATTTCTACAATGTTCCCTGAGCTTTGGAGGTGGTGGTGGGTGATGTAGATGTCCCACTTAGATCTGAGTCTTCTCAGTCCCTTATGCTTGGACATAGTTGTTTCCACACTAATTGTGACCTACTGTAAGTAGAGACCTCTCTGGTGAAGACTGAGAGCTCTACTACATATTTAAGGAGTTTCTTTTTCATGAACTAAACTAAATTTGTCTTTCTCATTTCCTGGACCTACTTTTACGGTTTCTAAAGGGCCTGTGGAAAAGCATCCAACTATCTCTGATAAGAGTCAGGTCCACACTGGTTTCCTACTATTATCTTGATAATAATAAACACATTAGAACAATTTCTTTAAACACAGACTTAATCAACTCAGATGTCCCCACTCACCCACTACAGATGGATCAATCCAAGACATAATGTTGTCAGCCACCTCTATCTCTGTAGAAATTATAGTGTTGTGTTTCTATGGCAGACTGCAGCTTGTGAAGCGTTTCTCTCATACACTACTGTATTACAGTACTCACTTAGGAGCATCCACAGGCTGGGACAAGGACTTCAGGATACTGTTCTGAGGCCAGTTTTCTTAAGGAGGAGGAAGAAGAGGAAGGGAAGATACACATGTCCCACAGTTCTTGGGCTTTTGCATTCCATGAAAGATTAAAAACTGTTCTGTGGGAAAAAAAATGTTTCCCATTGGGTTTCAAAGACTACATGCATGGATATAAACGGGTGATTTATTATAATCATCAGCTAAAACGTTTGATCCTTGATGTAGCCAAATACCGGGGATAGGTTTTTCTTCAGGCCTGCTAAACACTCTGCTCTTTGAACTGAGCCCTTTCCTCAGTGATTTTTGGCTCACTAAAATGACCTTAGCATTTTTCCCCAAATATGACTGTGTATAGTACTCCATACCTTTCCTTTAATCAGGCAATAAGGTTCCCAGGAGTCCTATGAATGCATTGTGATGGTCCCTGTCACTCTCTCTTGTGCTGGAACATGTATTAAAAATGGAAAGCAACTCTAGTCAGCCACTAAGTACACAGGACCTCTGCATGAGATCCCGTAGGGGTTGGTGCTGCTCTCTCTCTGTGCTCAGGAAGATTTGTGGAGGAGGGAACGGAATGAGACTTTAAGAAGGTAGATAGTTAAGGCAGGATCAACAGAACCAAGGATGTGAGCACAATTGGAACTATACCAGGCAAGATGAGGGATCATAGATGAGTGCAGGGTAGGGGGAGTAGGGAGAGATGGTAGGGATAAGATGCCCCTTCCTCCATGTGCAGGTAATAGGGACAGGCTCTGACTAGGAAACTTTGGTATAATAGCAAGCTCATAAAAGGCTATTTATTAACTTCACATACAAGGAGTACCAAGCAACTTTGGTGCTAAGATATTTTATCTTTTTAAAAAAAAAGTGTTTGTTGGCCTAAGTTCTTTTATCACAAATGAGCAAAGGTATTTAAGAATTTATATTTATTATTCTGTGTGTATATTTGTTGGGGGCACATGTGTGCCATCATGAGCATGGAGAGCTCGAGGACAACTTGTGGCAGTTGCTTCTCTCCTCCTGCATAGTTCCAAAGCACTTAACTTGGGTCCCCCAGCTTGGTGGCAAGAGCTCTTATCTGCTGAGCCATCTCATTGGTCCAGAATTTATTACATGTTCTTTATAAACTGGGCAATCCTGTAAGACTGCCACCCTAGAAACTGCATCTGCACCTACATAGAGAGTAAGTTTGCAAGATTTGAGAAGCACAGAAGCTAGCATTGAGCAGTCTTTAAATTTTACGTGTGTGTGTGTGTGTGTGTGTGTGTGTGTGTGTGTGTGTGTGTGTGAGATATGTATTTGCAAGGTTCCATGACAACTCTTCTGAGCTGGATACTTCCTTCTACTTTTCCATGGATTCAGGGAAATTCAGGCCACCAGGCATATAAGGCGAGGATTTTACATATCCAGCCGATCTTATAGTAAACATTTGCACCTGAATTAGAGCATGACAGTGAAAGAGACACAGCAAAGCAAGGGGACTTGAGTCCCTTGGACTGGAACAAAGCAAACATGGATGACTTATTTTTACTTGAAAAGTAAAAATTTTAGTTCATGGATGAAATATTTTGATGAATTTGAATTGAGCATTGGTCTCCAGTCAAAGAGAAAGAAACCAATTAAAAATAAAAAATTTAAGGTTAAAACCCTAAAGTTACAAAGAAAGCAATTAATTGCAGCAACCACAAAACATATTAAAGTGGACATTATAGGGTAATGAACTCCAGAGGATGAGAAAGACTCCAGTCTTACACGGACTGAAACAATCGGCTAACTCTCAAGAACTTTATTCTCAGCAAGAGTTAGACTTTCCTTAGTAAGCAGGAAAGTAATATCAACAGCTTTATTTTTTCTCTAACTTTTGGAGAAAATAAAAATTTTATAATTTTAGAAAATGAAAAAGAAAACTGGATATAGATGTATATATACTTGGTGAATTGACTTCCTCCACAAAGGCATTCTAAGTCTACAAGAATCAGATCTGGTGAAAACATGTGAAGACCTGGGCAGTACCTTAACTTCTGGAACTTAATGTGCAAGAGAGGTTATTGTGAATCTCTACCAAATCTACCATTACTTTGAAAGCCTTGGCTCTGTCTCTCAAAGCAAAGACACTTTTGAAATGAAAATTAACAAAACCCTTTTGACTAACTATTGGTGGAGATAAGCAGGCAGAGATGCATCTTTGAATGTGCAGCAAAGATGATACAGTCAGGATCTCAGGTGGGCAGAAGATGATACTGAAAAGTAGGGAAGGTAATCGGGTGAGTCTTTCCTGTGGCAAAGTGGTAGGGTTTCTGCTGCCTCTCCATTTACCATGTGGGTGACTTTTGTGAACTGCACATTTCTGTTTGCATAAAGTTTTCCATAGTTTGCCTCATGCCTCAAATATTTTTCTAAAACTATGGTTAACTGGATCTCTGCTTGGAGTACTTGTCTGACAGGACAGGA